AGGCTTTAAACTTTTCAAGTCAGCAAATTGGAAACTCAGGTAGGAAAGTAGAGAGAAGACAGCGAGATAATCACGCCATTACCAACAGCTGTAAAGAGTCATTTTAGTAACTCAAAGCAGGTGGTCTAAGTGGCTCTATCTCACATGAACTGATCGCCGCACAATACTCACATCCTGATTGGACATCTCCCAGTACGGCCGCTCTCCGTATGACATCACTTCCCACATGACGATGCCGTAGCTCCACGCATCGCTGGCGGAGGAGAATTTCCTGTACGAGATGGCCTCTGGAGCTGTCCATCGGATGGGGATCTTACCACCCTGGTCACGCACAAAAAGAAAATAACGGATGCACTCAAGGACAGACTCACACTAACATTGAGGTATCAGCAAAGTAGTTCAATTATGTAAATTTCAAAAAGAAGTCTGCAAAAAAAAAGAACCTTTTTGTAGCTATGGATCCAAATCTCAAGTAATTGGACACTTGGCTACTAAACGATTCTCAGGCAGCTCTGCATCACTTTAGTGCTGGTTCATGCACAAAGAAGCTCTCTTTAGGTGGTCGTCTGCTACAGAAGATCTTTCACAGCACACTAAATATGATGACTGTGACCTTTATCTGTCCAATTACTTTTGAAGCCCTAAACTTTAGGGACATTGTGTTTAAGAGCCACTGTAAACCTCCCACGCGGTTGTTTCTACGCTGATATACACAAATGAAAGCTGAGACATTTTATTGCAGAATCAATTATATGACTTTAAATTGAATGTGCTGAAGCATAAGAGCCTGAAGAACTAAAAATGAGTAACAGTCCAAATACTTGTGGTTTCAACTCCATGTTCTACTGCATTGGGTGAATTATTTAAAAAATATATGTATCTCGGTATCTCAGTGGCCTCAACCTTGCAGACGCCGGAGTCCAGCAGAGCCGCTACTTGTGGAAAGTAGCTGTGAAAGGACGCTCAATATTTCATTAATACCGCTGTCACATACGGTCTCCTTTTCTGAATATCGTGTTTATTGCCTGCAGTTTTCTCCTCTCACCTCACCTCAACTTTCACTTCCCTTCTGTGGATTTTTTTTTTTTTTGTGTGACGCAGAAAGTTCAACTTGGAACCATAAACACAGCTTTTCCTTTGCTACAGAAAAACCTCAATACAAACCAGGAAATGGAGGTCACCGTGGGCTCAGACAGATTTACGGAACACTGTCTTTTCAGCACAGGAGTTTTGGAGGTTTAACTTTTGCAATCTAAGGCAGCTCCATCTTTCTGCTGACCTCCAGAGAAAAGGCAGAAAAGTCACAATTTTATCAGTCTAATCAAGCAGGATTAGTGTCGGTTTGCTTATTTCTCAAGCTGCTAAAGATAGAATTAGTATGTAGATGCAATCTTTTTGACTTTGAATGGATTATTTCAGTGTCATATTACCATTTTTGTTTTTTTTTTCAGGAACTTGTTTGAGAGTAACACTCATAAGATACAACAGCAGCAGGTCTTGGCTCTGGCTTCAGTACAGGTACATAGTTTGAAGAGTACCATGGACACCAGTTCATGCATCAGTTTTTGTGTCATACGGGGAGGATCGGCCACAGAACGGCTGTTAGGGTGCATCCCGTAAACCTTCAGTAAGCTGAATTGTTGTTGCAGGGCCTCCACTGCTGCTCCTGCTGCGCCTTTCATAGCACAAAACTTCCAATCTTTACTTCTAATGAGATTCTTGACCAAAGCCAAGAACAGAACGCAGTCGGCCAACTGGCAGTAAATGAGACCGAAACGAGGAAAAACTTGTATCATAGATATCGCAGCGCGACAGAGCAAAGGTGAAACGTGAAAACCAGACGCCATATTAATCAGTTTGTATTTCCAACATTGCACTTGCTTGGCGGCTTCTTATTGTATAAAACAAAATTCAACAATGGTTGGAGACAGCCTTCATGCTGCTGTGCAAGATGTTTGGAAGCTTGTAAGCTACTTTTCAGTTCAGAAGTTACCTCTAACTTCTATATTTATGCTTTTAACCTGTACTTATTCAGGGTAGTTTTACTGATATTTAACCCCGTCTTTTACAGGACCATAGAAATAATGACTTGGGTCAAGATGTCACTGTTGTACAGTATTTCCCTTTTGCCTCCATCTTTGTTTACCCTCCTCGACTCTCCTGTCTCCCCCTCTGGCCTCACGCTCCTGTGTCAAACCCAACAGGATCACACATTAAATAACAACAACAGGGACTCTCAGTGTGTTTACATGTGCATTCAGGAGGAGCTTTAATGGTTGCTTTTTAAAAAAAAATCTGTCTCCAAAACTCCCAGAATTCACTTTAAAAAAGCAGATTTTCGACACCTGCCAAGACGAGTTTTGAGTTTTTGTTAACTTTGAGATGTAGATTAGCAGTTTCGCACTGTGACTGATGCATGTTTTGGGTGATTTGTGCGTCAAGTGTAAAATTTTGGGCTTTTTAAAAAATTCAAAATCCCTCTCTGATGACTGATTAAACTCCTAAAAGTTCATTTCTGTATATCAAAGTTGCATATTTAGACGTTTTCCAATAAAAAAATCTCTTCCTGACCTAAAATGGTTTAGATGCATCATTGCTTCCCGTAGAAAGCCTGGATCTATGAAATCCCTGCCTCTGGCTCCATCCACCCAGCCATGATTCCTTTTGTAGAAAGTTTGCAGCGCGTAGTTATTTTACGTCATTTTGTGGTGATTTAGCATCTTGTTGTTGTGATTTTGTGTTCTCTTGCATGATTTTACTTCTTTTTGTGGTGATTCTACCTCTCTTTTTGATGTTTTTCACATTTTGTGGTGAATGCACAACTTTTTGCCTTTCTTGGTGTTTTTTTTTCTGACTTTTTGTGTTGATTTTGCATCTTTTTATGATAAAAACTAATCCCATTACATTTGCATCCAACGTGTCCGACCCAGCGTGTGCCTGACACATCACACCAAATTAACGAATCAATCCGTACCCCGTGCAATAACAAAACATCTCCCTGTGGTGACACACAACAAGCTTTATTAAAACCTGTAATAAATTAGCCGTAGCAGGTAGAGGTCTCAGGTGTACCGTTGTGGTGTAAGCAGCCTCCGGGTCGTCCTCCAGGACTCGGGACAGGCCGAAGTCTGACACTTTACACACCAGATTGCTGTTGACCAGGATGTTTCGGGCTGCCAGGTCTCTGTGAACGTAGCCCATGTCTGACAGATACTTCATGCCCGAGGCGATGCCACGCAGCATGCCAACCAGCTGGATGACAGTGAAGTGACCGTCATGTTGCTGACAGGGAGGACAGGATGCAGAGGAAAATAAACAGACAGAGGAGGAGCCATTAGAAAAAAAGAAGAGACAGCACAAACAATCAGAGTGGAAATGAGGTTAAATGCAGGGAGCAAGAATAAGTCAAGGGACAGACACTGATAAACAACTTACTGCTGTGTGTGTATAGCAACAGAATATGTAATAAAATAGTTCAGTAGTTCTTAGAGAGTCGAAGCATATTTAGTTCAGAGTTATGCCGGCAGTAAATTGAGAGGACAATGTGCTGGAGAGTTCCATAATTCACATAAGTCACCAAAGTGACTGAGGGTGAACTTGCTCTCTGCCTGCAAGGCGTTATAATGACCCGAGCGCAAAGACATGCAAGGTTACTAAACGATATTTATAGCAGCGGTTTTGATACCATGCGAGGCCATAATCACGAGGACATGATCATGCACGAGTTCTCCGACCACTCCAACACTCACCCTGAGAAACGAGTCCAGTGATCCATTTTCCATGTACTCCACCACGATCATGACCGGCCGGCCTGCAAACACACAAACACAACACAAACTCCTTATTTCCTCAAGATTTATTTGAGCTACTAGGGGCGGTCTACAGACAAACTGAATAAACATGGCACATCCTGCTCCTTCCCCAGTGTCAAATCAGATCATATGATTTCTGAACCAAGCAGAAAAAAATCCCTCAGATGGAAGTTTGTATTACACATACATCGAGAGTGATCTGATGGACGAGACATCTTGTGCACAGTTGTCAAACTTTAGATTTAGGATTTTCAAATGAAAGAGGAGATATATTTGTCATTTGTCATGCCATCCTAAATCATCCGCTGATGAATCGAAAGTATCTGGAGTCGTGTAGGTGACACTTTAGGCTCTGGCAAACACTGGCTGACAAAATTACTCTGTCAAATATGATTGGACTTGAGAAGTCCAGGAGAGGAAAAGCAGGGTAACGTGTGATTTCTGTGTATGTGTGTTTAGCGGCGCTGCCAGTCTGAGACAGAAAAGGCAGAAAGAAGGCTGAGGCAACACACAGGCCATCAGCGGCTGATTGATGCATCAAGTCAAGATGCTCAATTCATTAAACTTTTTCATTTCAACATGTCCAAGCTGCCAAATGGGACCTGCTCAGTATTCAGTCCATGTATAACATGAAACATTAGTTAGAGACAAGTGCCAGCCCAGTTTCTCTTTCCAAATGTTATTGTTTCCCCACAGTGGATCCCTACAGTGCTGCTGATTGACTGGTTTACAGCTAGAAGGCAACTGTCCAGGCTTGTTTGCTGGTGAGCCGTGGACCATCCTGAACAGCTGGAAAGACAAAAGCGTCAGTTTTTTAACTCACACAGGGATACGGGAGTCACATGATGGAAGACGGAGTGTAATGTCAAAACAGAGATTTGTGAAAGGGTTCCCTCACCACATGGATGCCGAATTTTTTCTGTTTGCAAGAGCAAAATACTAAACAGCACTCTTACTTTGCAGATTTACAGCATTTCATTCCCCTAACCCTAAAAACAGACCACTCCATCTTCACAAGCCTTCAGAAAACCCACTTTTCCACCATCTGCCTGAGACAATATCAATAATCTTAAATTATCTCTATTTTTGTCATTGAGTCAAATCCACTCAGCTTCAGTTTGATTGATATTATCTCAAACAAACAAAGAAAAATCTACAAAAATGGAGTTATCTGTTGTTGCAAATGAACTGTTCAAGTACAAGTGGTGCAACAAAAACACACCTGATCTGCATCGTTGGGCTCTTTAGTGAGGTTAAAGGTGAACTAGACACAGGGAGATATTCCACAGATCACAGGAAACATAAACTGGCATTTATCCCATGTCTAGGTTTAATAACTTCATCATGCCATTAATGACACTGACTGACCCAAGAGAGGCTTTTGTCGTCATTATATTATGTGTTATTGGCTGATAAATTAGGTGTATTTGTGAATAATCTGATCTCCACAGCAGTGAGTCCACACTGGAGGACAGTCATTCTGCTATTGAGTGGGGGAAAAAAAAGCTGTGGATTGTTTTTATTTCTTCTTCAAACCAGTCTCAGTGGGCGATGCTTAGCCCAGGATGCAGTGATGGTGTCCCTGCAGAAACCTGATGACGGCTAAATCAAGCAGAACCAAGCAGACCGGCCAGTTGCATGATCCAAATCTTTTTCAGAACATTTTCAGGTTAATGCTCAGAGGTTGTTGTTTTCTGTAGTGAAGGGGGGATTTAAAAAGCCAGGTATTATTGTAGTATTGATTATTTTTTATCTTGATTTCTCACACATCTGAAATGGAGACGTCTGCCCTCAAACAGGTGAATGATTTGACAGGTTTTTTTGCTGAAGGACTCTTTTACACATCAGCTTATTCTGCTGCTCAGCCAAGATCAGCGTGTTGCCAGATGAGACTATAAACTTTTGGTGATGTTCTTATTTGTATGGTCATTATTCATGAGCATGACTGGGTAAAAGGTTATCTGTGAATTGTGGTAATGATTGTGAATTTACCTCTTTGGCTGCATTGGCCTGAAGGATGCAAAAATGAATTTCAGTGCAAACTTTCTATCGTATCACATCTTAGATAGCAGAAGGGGAGAAGAATGCTGCGTAAAATGTGTGGTGGAAATGGCAAATAGAAGTCTGCATCTGGTGAGTCAGACTTTACTGTCGTGGAGCCGCTGAAACTGAAAACTTCCGGGAATCAGCTCATGTCGCTCACAAGCCACGAGGGCGGCACTTACACCATCATACCATCACTCAAAAACAAAACACACAGAGATTAGATTTATGCCTCAAACCCTTTTTTTAATGCAAAAGAAAGGCTTGGAAGATGAGAGCTGATTTGGCAATTGGGTTAACTGGCCCAGCAGCTTTGATAAAGAACGGCTCTTTGAATCTTTTCAGTAGGAAACATTTGAAACTGTCCAAAACACAACATAATTATGAAAAACAGATGGTGCAAGTCATAGTCACTTGAACACCAACGTTTCATCGTTCCAGTCGATTGGCAGTGACGCACTCGTTGCTGCACCTTCCGCTTAGGTTGAAAAAAAATCTAAACAGCCGCGAGGTTAAAAAAAAACTTCTCATAAAGAAGAGGCGCTTGTGTTACTTATGTTTATGATTATTTCCGTTGTGATGAACTAATCAAACGTTGTAGGCATGTATACATTTGGCGAGATGATCTTAAAGGTTTACATGTCAGCAACACACCCTCACAGGTGAAGCTAAATAAATCTGCAGGTGAAAAGAAGATGCAGCGGTGATCTGGATGGATGCGCGGAGCCTCGTTTGTTTGTGCCATACTGTATCCCTTACCTTGCAGCAAACATTATGTTTTCTTTCAAATCTGCAAAAATCCAATCACCGTGTCCTTTTTGAATTTCCTCTCTCGCCACCCAAATCCAGCAGGGACAGACAGGAAATTATTTGATCAAGCTTGGCTTTCCCGAGCTAATTAGCGAAGTCTGGAAACAATATATAGTTAAGCAGCGCGGCGCCTGAACAAAAACAAACGCACCTGTTTACCAGAATCTAATGTGTCACCTGTTATTTCAGAGCAGGTATAGCAGTCAGTCACAGCACAATACTCTCCATAATTAGTCTCTGAAGGACAACAACAGATGGAGGGAGTGAAAGATAGAGAGCGTGAGGAAAAGACAAACAGACAGGCAGGCAGACAGAGAAAGGATACTCAGAATTAATGCCTCTCTATATACAGTCTGATGCCCCACTGCCAAACACAAATGGCTTTTGATTGCGTGATTAGATGTGCACAGTGCATTGTGTGTGTGTAGGCACTATTGGACAGGCAGTCATGGGAAATGGTTTGCTCTGATAACTCCCTTTCTTATAAATGCAGATGAATAAGAACCTTGAAATAAAATATGATTCTTCCTGGATGATGGTGGAGTGGCTCTGTTCTTCAGCGGTACTTTGACAGAACATTTGTTTTTGGAAAATGCTGAGATATCTACATGTTTACCAAGCACACATCACATGTGAGATGTATTAATACTGCAGGATTGTGATGAAAAACGTTCAAAAAAATGACTTCAAGGTTCTCTCATTAGGCTTTACAGAGGTTTAAAAACCACATTCAACCGATGTGACAAAAGCTAATTGTACAAGCCTCTTGGAGCTTTTCCACAAAAGCATCAGACTCACTGTGAGAACAGAATGAGACGTATCAGTAGCTTCATACATAACAGACCTTTAAACGTCTATTCAGCGCCGCCTGTCAGAGCTGTTGACCTCTGACGGGATGAGAATCCTTTTCTGCAGCACCGACTCCAAATGTTTTGATGCCATCCGAAATCTTTCCAGACAAATCATCGCAGTGTTGTGTGGGGAAGTTTTTTCTTCAGTCACAAAAATGCTTCAGACAATATAAACTACAGTTAAATCTATCAGCGCAAAAATTATCAGCAATCAGCAGCTTTTAATGCAACAATCAGCAGGCGGTGTTGTCCTTTAAAAACCCTTTATCGCTGGAGTCTTTAGCAGCAGGGTCAGAGCGGCGGAGCGTCCTCTGTCTACATCCAGGGAGGGGCGGAAAGTCTTCAGGGGACACATTTATATTCACAGCGATGTCTCAGTTTATACACCCCCTGTAAAAACAACCATATGTTGCGCTGGGTGAGCCCCGTAAAACAGAGCTCGTTAACAAGTCCGCATTGTCGCACACGCACGCCTTTCTTCTGAGGATAAAGCACGACTCCTGCACAAAGACGCAGCGTTTGAACTTAGAAAAGCGTGCGCGCTGGCCACTGGCGCGTTCACCTTGGCTATGCAGAGGGTAACTCGCAAAAAACTAAAACTATGTGCCAGTCTTACATACAAAAAAATAAAAAATAAATAAACCTGCTGCAACTTTAAAGGTGTTTTTACTGTTCAGAGGAACCAAAGATGTAAATTTATCCATCAGACTGTGATAAACAGTCTGATTGGCAAAGAAACTTCAAATGCTGTTGTTGCGTTTTACTTTGCTTTTAAGTGAAACGCTTAATGAGACGCTGTCACAGGACAACAAAACCACGTTTTGATAAAAATAAAAGATGAGCGATTTAGTTTCAGATGCTCATGAGGCACGAAGTTCTTTTTATGCTCCACATAAGGGAAAATGCCAAACAGGCAGGGATTTATGGAGGAAGCAGCGTTTGGGTGGCCGAACACCAGCGATGTGGTTGTTGACGGCGATTACACGGAGACGTGAGGCGGTGACAGTTACTCCTGTTCATAACCGAATGATCTGTCACCGAGAGATGTTTCTGTATTTAACACTCACTTAAGCAGCGATGAAGAGATTTATTTAAGAGGGAAACTTTGGAGCTACATCTCTATGTGAGCCCTGTGATAGACTGGCGACCTGTCCAGGGAGTCAGTTGGGATAGACTCCAGCCCCCCAAGACCCTCGTGAGGATTAAGCGGTGTATAGATGATGGATGGATGGATCTCTATATGAAAACATACATTTCATCAGTGGATACACAATCGAGTAAACTGAGCCACACTTCCCACAATCCTTCTTACTTTTCGTGACCACGCCCTCCAGCCTGATAATGTTGGGGTGGTCAAACTGGCCCATGATCGACGCCTCGCGCAGGAAGTCCCGCCTCTGACGCTCCACGTAGCCTCCCTTCAGCGTCTTTATGGCCACGGCGATCTCCTTCTTCCCCGGCGTCCTCAGGCGACCGCTGCACACTTCGCCGAATTCCCCTGGAGAACAAGAAAACACAGTCAGCGACTCACATTACATCCAGACCTATTTTCTGGAGACTCAGTCTAACCTAAAACCTCACACAACCCTAAAACCCTAAACCAACTCTTCATCCCACATTCTGACGTTATTGGGATTTGCTTCTGGTTTCACAAAAGGAAACACACACACACACACACACCAACACAGTGAGGAGTCCACAGCGTCAGCAGGTAGCACAACATACCACCTGGGGGCAGTGTTGTGATTTGCACCTAAACTCCTGCCTCCTTATTACATCTCCTCTGATTAGCTGAACTTCATAACACTCTCTCTTTCACCCTCCAAAAAGCCTTGAATCTATTCTTACACTTTCTTTTGTTCTCTAAACCTGTTAAAGCTTTAATATTCCAACAGTGTGTGCTGAGAAAATGACAGTGAGACGCTGGGATTTGGGGGTAAAAAAAAAAAAAAGAATAAAACAGGCATCCTCTTTAGTGTATATAATAGAGTCGAGGGGGTTTATGGGAATTATGGGAGTAAAATGAAAACAGATCATGTTGTATGCACATTTAAAGCTATTACTACCCGAAGCGATCCTCTTCTGCCCACAGGCGGATGGTATGAATCAGTGTCATAAGTGGAGGAGTGTGTAGCAGTGTGTAGCAGTGTGTGTGTGTGTGTGTGGTTGTGTATACCGGCGCCGATCACCCTCTCAATGCGGATCCTGCACGGGTCGATCTCCTTGGTGAATTCGTGGACGGCCTGCGTGGGATCTTCGTACGTGTCGGGATCCACATACGTCTTTATCCCCGGGAAGGGAACTGTGGAATAATCGAGTGAGAATAATCAATACGTTAAGCGAGAGGGAGAGAGAGCGACTTTTCACTGCTACTATGGCTCATAATGGTTACAGTACAGGTACTCAGTTACATGCTGCTGCGACAGATATTACCATCTAGGGGTGCTTGTAACCCAGGAAGTACTTGCGGGGTCACTGGGGTAAGGTGGAGAATAGACACACAGACAGAATTAACATTTAAGTGAGGCTAATATTCAGTGTATTTATTTCTACAAGAGAAAAAAGTGATAACAGGCTGACTAAACAGGACTCGACATCCTTGTGCCGTCTCTCAAAGAAAACGAGTTAAATCAGAAGACAAACCCTCACATCAGAACCAGACTAAACCTTTTCAGCCTTTTTTTTTTCAGTCAATATCGTATCAACAGTGGATCACAAGACATTATATAAACAAATGCAAAAAATGATTCGGTCACTCTCGAGGCAAATTGTTTCAGACACAGTGAGACACATTTCCCCGCTGCTATCGATTATGAGCTGGGAGGCAACGAGTTGCGCTGTTCGATATCTTCTCTCTGGCGGAGCGCGGGAGCACAAGTGTTTTGCTGGAAAGCAGCAGGGAGGCACGTCGAGTGTTGAGCCAGCCTTTTAAAAACCGGGGCAAGGTTTTTAGCTGCTGTTTAATGCAACCCTCCGCTCTGCTGAAGTGTCCTTGAGCAAGTCAGCGAATCTTTAACAGGCCGCTGCAGCTCTGGCGCTCGCCCTGACCTCCCGGCGGAGGCAAGATCTGTGTTTCTCCTTCAGGGATCGATAAAATATCACAAAACAACAACAAAAAAAACAACAATCAGTTGTCTCTGATGCATGAACCGACAACAGAAAAACCCAACGACCTGCACCTCAAAGACTCAGCATCACCGGGCGCAGGAGACGGAGGGGTTTGGAGACCAGAGGGTGAACAAACGCCACAAGGTGTGGGTTTTAATCTTGAATATCCGGACCTGTGTGGCACCTTCAGAAACTAATTTGATATATATTTTTTCCTCTCACCTTTTTCTATCTGTTTCTGGCTCTCTGGCCTCAATCCAAGTTGCCGGCCAGAAACACTCCTCATTTCTCTTTGTCCTCTCCTCTCTTCCTCTACCTTTCAACCCAGTCGCCCTCATCCTCATTCCTCTCTCCTTCTTGTTTTCCTCTTGCAATTTTCCCTCACCCTGCCCCATCTCCGTCTCCCTGCTCGCTTTCAAACATCTTTCTGTTTCATTCCCCCCACCATCCCACCCCGCCCCTCACAGCGCTCATTTCTATTTGCATTTTTCATGTCGAGAATGAAAACTTCGATATTAAAGACAAAAGACGGCAAAAAGAGGTGGAAACGTACAAGAGTGCAGAAGCAGACAGCTCAGGGATGCAGCCGTGTAACCACATTAATCAAAAAACACAAAACAAGAAAAATGAAAAAGTCATGTAGAACATCAAATAAAACCGGAGGGGACGTGAGGAGGAAGAGCAAAGAGGAAGGAGAGGAGGAGGAAGAGACAGAAACATCAAGGAGCATGTTGGTTAAGAGCATTTTGCTCCGTCTGTTTGTCTGACATCTTAATTCTTGGCAGAATTAGAAAACTACAGCAAGGAGATGCTTCTTATTTTCGAGCGTTTGTGACTGTGGCAGCGGTTTTGCATCAGCTCACGATGGAGTCTGTCGTTCCGATGCAAAACTTAACATGCACAGAAACTGACAGCCGTGGAAAACGATCCATACAGGAACACGCTGTGCATGTTGAATGCTAAAACAAGAGCAGGTGACTAGCCTATCCCGCTAACTGCTAAATGTTTTCATCTTTATTGGAACAAAACACACCAGAGCAGATAAAACCCGGTCGGCAGTGTCTCACCAAATGGTTGGACATTCTGGCATGAGTAAGGTTAACATCATGACATATTATGAAACTTACTGAGCAGATGCCTCCAACCACCACCCGACACTGACAGATGAAGCATCCAAAAGAACAAAAAAAAGAGACAGAGACAGGCAGATTGATTTACCGTGTCCGTTCTGATAATTAGTCCTCCTTTTCTCCTCCGAGGTCATCTTGGCCTTAAAGTACCACTGACACCTGGAAGACAGGCAGATAGAAAGGCAGAATGAACGGTGTGTCTATAAAACGTGCGATAATATTACCTTTCATTGAGACCGTCATAGTGCGGAATAGTGAAATAAATACCCGTACATGGGGATGGCCCTGAAGAAGTCTGGAATTAAATGTCTTTTTTATCTGCAGCCACCGTCACCATAAGTGGTAATTGCAGGACAATGGCCCATCGCATTTCCCTTCATTTCTTTAGCTGCTTTAGACACACCGTCATTAGGCGACGTGCCTGAGAGTGTGACCAGAGCAGGAAACCACCGAAATGCTGCTGGTTTTTACCTCTACTGATAAAAACCATTAAAAATGTTTCTCTGCAACATGATAAAGCACAGTGTAAGAGGTGCACAATTACTTTTCATTTGTAAGAGGAAGAGTGCTTACTTTTTCTTTCAGAGGTTACCCAGTCTTGCTTTAAACAATACCGGAGCCTCCAGGGGGCCTCCACAGTGGAGAGAACGTATTGTTATTATTTTACACTCCTCTCTGGATCACGCCGAATTACAGGCCGAGGTCGACTTAACACAACCGCCATCCAGTCACGTGACGCGAGTTCAAGCAAACAGCTCGACGCGGGAATAAAACAAGTTCTGCGTGTAAGATCTCCAGGAAGGAAAAGGAAGGTGACGTGTGTTTTGTATCCGGATGTGTTTTACCAGGTAAGATGTGAAACTCTCGCCAGGATCGCTGTTAGCAACTCGTCTCTGGTGCTTCTTTTCACGGTTTTGCACTACAGGTGCAGATTGGAAGCGGTGTTTAACAAATTCACACTTAAAAACGTGTTACTTTGAATGAATAGCGGAAAAAAGAGATAAAGATAGACAAAGACGAGCGAGCCAGATAAGCCAGGTAGAGAGGAACGGCGGTATCGTAAAGGCTAAACAATCTGTTGGGATTTACAGTCCACTACATTCTCACAGATACACATCTCGGTATACGACTGAACAGGTTCAATAAGGGAGAATTTTAGTTTATAATGCTGCGGTGATAAAACAATACCACCGCACTGACTGATCATTGTAGCTTAACATTTAAAGAAGATGTTCAAGTCTAGCCTTGCATTTATTGCTGATAAAATGAATGCAGCTGGTTTAATTCTGCAGCCGAACCGTATATATATAATACAGAACCACACACGCAGATTCAAACTTCTTAAGAAAATGAAAGAAAGGTGCTTCTGGGTCAATGAGAGTTACGCGATTGCTCTTAAGTTAAAGGAGCTCTCACGCAGAGACCGAGATGTTTTTTTTTTCAACATACAGCTATTGAAAATATCTAACTATGTAAAAGCTCTCTCGTCCTCCTCTGTGTGTGTGTGTGTGTGTGTGTGTGTGTGTGTGTGTGTGCGCGACGGTGTGTTTGTGGGAGAGTTTATCTGGGCACTGAGAGACTGAGAGACAGCCAGCGACAGATAAAAAGCCGCTGCCAAGAAAGTCTGAAAAGCTGAGAGATTAGATGACAGCATCTGCAAAAGACCACAGAAGACTTTATCCAAATAGGAGCTCGGATGTTACCCCCGAAATCAAAAAAAACGAAGAAACCCTGTCTGAATCATGTTCATGGCAAAGTGCTGGGTATGGGCGGGAATCTGACTCACAGCTGAAACAACCGTCTGATCAAAAACATTCCAGCGAGTCAGTGTTGCAGTTATAATGCAATAAATGGCGAGTATCGTTCTGACATTCACACCGTGGAAACTTGAACGCTAATGTGGCGTCCTCCTTACATACTGTAGGTAAATGAGAGAGTAACAGTGTGATAGTAAAACAACAGTGAAATGCATGAAATTGTCGTACAGCCTCTCTACAGTCACACGCTCCTGTGATTTTACTGCTGCCAAATGATTTTGGGTCCATTAGCAGACCATTCTTTTTTCAAACAATTTAAAGCGCCAAGTTACAGCAAAAATTACAGTCATTAAAGCAGCAACTGAATTATAATTTAGACCCGGGGTCTGCCATTTTTTTTTTTTTTTACAGTTTTCATTCCTGAAATGGCATCGTCATGGTGATGATAGAACATCATCACAAACATTAAGGCACAGTGGCGCCACCGAAAAAAACTCGAGACAAGATGGGAACCTTTTAATCCTTTCAGATTTACAAGTTTTCACAGTTAGACAGGGACTAGCGCCGAACTATAACGGAGGCAGCTGTTGCTGTGTTTGCCGTTGGAAATCCTGCTGCTGCCGCCAATAAACAGAAGTGTATTCTAAACTTCAACATTTAGGATCAAATAAATACACACAAACCATCTGCATGGTTAAAGAGAGGATGCAATAATTTGAGCAAACTTTTTTCATTAGCTCAAACATCTGGCCTGATGTTCAAGTCATAGCTTTTGGTCATACAAACACGGTCTCTGTTAACTGTTCATAAAGTATTTGCAGCCTGGTGTGTTCGTGGCACCCCGAAGAAGAAGAAGAAGAAGAGCAGTGAGACGGAAAATAATAATAAAAAGAATGAAAAGGTGCTTTGAGTTCTCTCAGAGGTTATACCGGTGATGAATTTTAAAACGTATTTCGCAGTAGAAGGCTTAATTAATGACCATGTGCATGAGGGACACTCGCTCCCACTAGTGGATCCCCTAATACGTTTTCTCATATTTCATCATTTATTAGATAGAATATAGGAATTCCACTGCCTGTTTCCTGCAGCCACACAGCACCTGAGCACAGTTAAAAATGACTAAACTCCTGTCTGACTTTTAAGGACAAGCGAAGCTGCTGTTTGCTCAAACATTAAACGGGGAAAGTGAAACTGCTCATGTAATAAAAAAGTGTGTCTGAAAGGGACTCCTAAAGCTTAACGGTGGTGATTTTTTTCTGTATTCTCACTATGTTTTGAAGAAACATGGATTTTACTGATGGACCACGAGGGCTCTACGGGCACGGGGGAATGGGCTAAATCTGGCTTCTGGAAATAAATAAAAAAAAGATGCTTGCAGGGAGGATCAATTCCTTGTTGGCTTTGGCCTTTCCACTGGATGTGCTGACAATAAGAAAGATATCAAAAATCACCAAAGTTATCTTTTAAATGAGTGGCAGCAAAGCAGAAGAGCGGAGCCCAGAGACTCGACCCCGAATCCCCCGACGGAGACGGAGCGGCAGCAGGAACAGAGTCACGCTGCTGTCACTTCGCTGGAGAGTCCTCTCCTCACTGTCACTGCCGCAGACAGGTCCTCCTCTCCCTCAGCCCTGCACACCACTGTGGTCCAGATGGGAGATGCTATCTCCCTGCTGGAGATGAAGCCGGTGGAGCTGAGGGACGGAGCTCTGCAGCTTGTCCCGAGTCCCGCAGGACACGGTTGTAGTGACATGTTTTTCTGCTGATTTGGGGCTTCAGCCTTCAACGTGAAACTTTGGTCTCGACATTGCTCGGACGCTGCTGATGTGTCCCTCTGACAGATGCCTGTTTTCTTTTTGTTTTTTAAAGACTGCTGAGTTTTTTTTTTAAACATTTGGAGCATCAGAAACGTTTCTTTTTGGGGACTTCTGAGGTTTTTTTTTTTATATTTGGAGCATCAGAAACGTTTGTTTTGGGCATTTCTGAGGTTTTTCCTCCGTAGTTTCAGTATCGTGTATGGAGAAATGTTTATTACCAAAGAGACAAATTAATGGTAAAACTTGAATCCTTGCCCCCTGCAGTGATTCTGTGATGCTACACGAACATTTTGCTGCCATGATTTCATTTCACTGCAAATCAATACAAAGTCGTTCTAAATGATCACGTTGCATCCTGTGATGGACGACTTCCATCCTGATGGTTATGATCTCTCCCAGGGTGGTAATGTTCTCCATCCAGGGGTCACTGAGCAGTTTAATGAGCATGAACATGGTGTGTATCGTCTTCACAGTCACCAGATCTAAACATCTATGAGAGGTTTCGCATCAAAACACTAAATGAAGGAACATCTTTTGAAAGAATGGTGTTCATCCGTCCAGTAGAGTTCCAGAGAATCACTGCTAACGAACACACGGTGACACTTTATGTTGGTATTACTATTTATTTTTCACACGTCCGTCGATAAATAAGCCGTAGTAATAATAATACGTGAGAGTAAAATGTAGGCCGACGCTACTGTTTTAAATTATCGGTGTATATTTTAGCGGAACATAATCGCACACGTCCACTTCTGCTTGTTGCCAAAAACAACCTCCGATATGTTCCTTCTCTACAGACGACACTTACAGCCGATAATCAATGATAAATATGCATTAGTCTTAATATAGCCGCAGTGGAATTTACCAAACAGCCGTCACAGTGGGTGTCCATGTGTTTTATTAAGCTACATTAATTAAATAACCCACCACTTCTATAGGATGAACGGATAAAGTAGGAGACATCATAAACTCTGTAATTCACCACATTACACACAAAACTCTGCTCCGTAGGCGAGACGGCCGTTTCCTTTTGTTCCATTCTTACAGTTTATTATGACTTTTTTAATGTTTTTGTCGCCGCTTTGACGTAGTGCAGCGCATTAATGTATACAATTAAATATGAATGAATCTTAAACTCACTAAACTCTGGCCGATCACAGACTAATCTACAACATACATCACACGAACATCAAACAACAACGCTGCACTCTCGCTCAGCCCAGCATGGGTCTGGCTTTAATGTCATCGCACACCAGAAATTCTAGAGAGTCTATTTGCAGCGTGTGTGTTTGTTAACCCTGCAAGGCTGAACTAAATGAGTTCACACTGAAATTATTTACCATCTCTTCAGCTTTATGAACTTTTTAGCCCCTTCCAGTGAACAACTTCTGACCAAAGAAGGACACTCAGACTCAGGGACAGCAGCATATGACTCATACCTGATCATAAAAGCCAACGCAGAACGCTGTAGAAAGCCATCCAGATATTTTTAAGAGTTAAAGGGTATTAGGAGTTGGAGAGGCCAACACAGAGCTACAAAGAAATTGAATATCAGACTTCAACTCAAGCTGGAGATAAAGTCAAGTGG